GAAAGAAAAAAGAAAGAAAGAAGTGTTAAAAAAACGGCCATTTTTAGGTGAGGGGAAAGCTGAATGAAAACTGTTGACAAAAGAAAGAAAGAAAAAAAGAAAAAGAAAGAAAGAAAAAAGAAATAAAGAAAGAAAGATATTGCGTGTTGTTTCTTTGCTTTTGATGTTGTCGACTACGCAGTACAGTAGACTCAGTTGGGCACCGTCTGTGAGGAAACGAGAACCATGACGCATTTCCCTCTGCCAGAAATTTGGAAACGGCAAGCTGTACTGCTTGGCATTTCAGAGTGTTCCGGTGTCAATCTGCGGACAGCGCAGAAGATCAATAAATTTTAGATGTGTCTAATGGTGATTACGAAGGTGTTTGGAGTGATCACTAGTGATGATAAAATTATTCCACCATTCATCTTCCCACCAGGCCTCAGACCCAACACGGTGGCCTACACAAAATGCCTTGAGGAGGTAGTGCTACCCTGGGTCAAAAGAATGCCTGCTGGAAAACCCAATTCACCATGTCACACAAGCAGGAGAACCTAGTCATGGCTGTCAGACAATATTTGCGACCATATCACCTCTTACATTTGGCTACCTAACTCCCAGTCTGCTATCCCTGTGATTATTGATTGTGGGGTGTAGTTGAGGGAGGGACCGACAAAATTCTTTGTAACACCAATGGTGAACTGAAACAAGGAGACCGCCCAGAAAAGTTGCCGGAGATTCTGAAGTCGTGAAGGCCGTAGTTAAAGACAATGGCGATTTTATTATATACATTTACTCTTTAGTATTTCAAGATATTTTTGTGCCATTTTGGTAAATATATTTGTTAAAATGAGATGTCAGTGTTATTTTCGCATGTGCGTAATTTAGATGACAATTTATCCATCGCACCCTGTATATGAAGGGATTTTTGTATTCGACAATGTTTCTTCTTATTATGTTATTCTTAGTAAGCACACGTTCTTGAACTGCTATCGTTGTTTATTTTCTTAAAGAGTGAATTTAATAACAATCTTGAAATTGTACCTCCGACAAAAATCGAATCTACATCCCATTCTTACCACAGAGAAAACGTTTTTCTTAACCAAAGCCTGCTGCTAAGTGTTTAGCAACCTAAACAAGCCTGACAGACCAGCTTTCAAATTACAGAAAATAAAAAAAAAACAATAATAACAACTCTACCACGCGTAACCACTAAAAGTAACAATATCTATATATCTATATCTATATCTGCCTATATCTCTGAGATGAGGTAATATGATTACTTGCATTATTTACATTATTCAGACTGTTATCCTCATCTTCATTGCCATATTCACAACGTTTCGGCAGTTGTACACTTCGGCATTCTACAGGTGATTGGAATTTCGAACCAAACTCTTTATTTTTTCCAACGCAGTAGATTATTCTAGGCATGTACGTGGAACTAAAACAATATGCCCCGGTGGACGAAATAAATTCTACAACAGACAAAACGTTATGAATATGGCAATGAAGATGAGGATAACAGTCCGAATAATGTAAATAATGTAAGAAATCTATCTATCTATCTATCTATCTATCTATCTATCTATCTATATCTATCTATATATATATATATATATATATAGTCGACTCTCCCGTCGAGATTCGACGTATGAGGGTTAAGCAGATCAGTTTCCAGGAAATCGACAGCCCGACAACGGCACATGAGATTTCATTATAGTGGTGAAGGCTTCGTGCAGGACCATCCACACTTTTTGAAGGGCCGAATACAGAGACCCGGTGCACTACGTGCCACAAGATCCCCAAACGACCCTCCGCAGGTTTTGAATTCAGAGTTGTTCTTCTCCTAGGCTATAGAACTCAGTCTGTCCTGCTATTTTACCCATAGCTGGAGGGAGAGAAAGAGGATTCATACCTTTCCCAAGGGTATTAGCACGTAAGTGAATGCAATGGATTCGACCGTAATTGAATATATATATATATATATATATATATATATATATATATATATATAAACATATCAATTGTTTAATCAGATATGTTCATATATATATATATATATATATATATATATCAATTGTTTAAGCAGATATGTTCATATATATATATATATATATATATATATATATAATATGAACAAATCTGATTAAACAATTGATATGTTTGTTTTCAATAATATCTTTTCGTAATCACGGATAAGCTTTTGTTTTGAAGACAGCAAGAATGATAACATTCTTATATTTATTCATTTTTATTTTTTTCGAATACTTTTGGCTTATATTCCAATATCATTTTCAGCGTTATGATGGCGAAAAGAAATAATTGTGTATGTCCGAAGTAAATATTTGCTTTCCTTGTTAAACTGTTAACAGTTCCCGTTATGCGCAGTCACAAGCGGTGATTTTGAAAATTTTCCATATTGTAAAAATTTTAATTCAAGGGAGGTAACATAGTTAAGAACTGAATTTCTTGTTAGACGGTTATACTTTGCTTAACTTTTAAAACTGTTTAGTTTTAATATAGATATTTCAAAAGAAATATACTATATGCATTTCAAAATATTTTTACTATTTTATTTTTAATTTCTTAATAAAGATAGATTATAGAATTTTTACTTCTCGGATATTATATTCTTGGTGAAGTATACAGGTATTGTCGGCTAATATTCTTCTAATTTGTGAATGTGGACAGGAATGTTTTGCAGTTGTACTTTAATTCAATTTTAATAATTATATTGATGGTTTCGGCTCTCGTTTTTGAAACATGAGTTTTCTGGTTGCTGTTCTCGACTGGTAGTCAGGAGCCTGAACTGTTGCGTAGCGTCTTAAGGGGGCTGCTCTGATCAGCAGTTGCATAATATCGAGGTTCTTGCAGTGCGATATTGTGCAAGGAAAGCTCTCGCTGCAAGCACTCTCCCTTGAATCTCCAGACTGTTTTTACATGTGTCTTCGTCTCTCTCTACTTAACTCAGTTATCTCTTCTTCCCCCCCAAAACTATTGCGTGCAATATAGTATTTCCGATAATATTAACAAGGTCATCTTCCTACACCCTCGTCCCGCGTAAGACGTTAAACTACATTCGCGTCCTGGGTAAGACGTTAAACTATATCCGCGTCCTGGGTAAGACGTTAATTTACGTCCAGTAGCAAGGCCTCTGATCAGGAGGTTTTGAGGAAGGTGGAACCACCTCTTAATTGTTGGTTTTCCCAGGTCCATCCTGACTTGGGGTGGTAGCACCTGTTAGGGTCCCAGCTATGGGCAAATAATTAACTATTACCAGCAATACGTTATGAAAAAAAATATTACCAGCATTACAATTTTGAAGGAAACTTATTACCAGAAATAGATTTTTGACAAAACAAAATATTACCACAATAAAGATTTTTGTCAGCATTAAATAACCCATTGAGGTTGATATGCCGTAAAACAAAATAAACCAAACCAATCTAAACCAAAGAATACATATTCAATTCATACGAATCAATCCTAAAAACGCCGGCATTAAATAACCCATTGAGGTTAATATGCCTTAAATCAAAATAAACCAAACCAATCTAAACCAAAGAATACATATTCTATTCATACGAATCTATCCTAAAAATGTGGTCGGCATTAAATAACACATTAAGTTTGATATGCCGTTAAACAAAATAAACCAAACCAATCTAAACCAAAGAATACATATTTTATTCATACTAATCTATCCAAAACATATTGTCAGCTTTAAATAACCCATTGAGGTGGATATGCCGTTAAACAAAATAAACCAAACCAATCTAAAACAAAGAATACATATTATAGTCATACGAGTCTATCCTAAAAATGTTGTCGGCCTTAAATAACCTATTGTGATTGATATGCCGTTAAACAAAATAAACCAAACCAAACCTTCCTACACCCATTTGCAAATATATTTGTGTTCGGTGACTTTAATACCTACCATACCAGGATGCTTAAACACTGACTTCACTGGCATCCAAACCCTTAACTGTTAAATCACTCAATCTCTCATGCATGTGATTGACTTTCCTACGCTTATGAAGACGTCATCTGGAATAATTGGCTTTTATTTCTACAATATGAAGATGTCTTCTGGAAAATAATATAAAATAAAACCGTTCAGATTTTCTCTATTGCGAATCCGTAGGCGATCACGGTTCTCCACAACCTCCTTTGCTTTGTAACACTTAGTAAGTTTTTTTTTTTAAATTATCCCTGCCTTAAGTTCTCGAAACACGTTTTCCTCGTTATGTTTCCCGGAAATGTCATCTGTCTATTTCTGATGAAGGCAAAGGACGAGAATACTTAGTATTTGCGTCCTTTGGCTTCCTTTTTACTCATATGTTCAATCCGTACAGATTGTTAGTAATATTAATAAAACTGACACGAACACCAATGAAAATGTTGAAGCATGTCACTAGTAAACACCGATTACTGACATGAAAATTTAATAATACAAGTGACATTCCATCTAAAGGGTGTTCCAATAAGTTGTATTGATTTTAAATATGAATTAAGTTTAAGCGTCTAATGCTTTTTTCTTTTTCTTTCAGATTTGGCAGACATTTTGGCGATATTATTTTTCGGCCATAATTGCCATGGCTTAAATAAAATGATCCAGTAGAGAAATAGATAAATTTTCACTAATAACACTGATTTATTTATTGCTGATTTTATCCGTCTTTATGAAACACCCTATTTTATTATGTCTGTCATTTGTGATGTCGGTGGAAAACAAAAAAGGTTGAACCTACCCGCCCAAAAATACATAATACTTTATTTTGTTGCAGATAGTAACTGAAAAGGAAAACAGTTTCTGGTACGAAAGTACTTTGCAAACGGATACGAAATCATTGACTTCGTCCATTTGTAAAAAAAAAACAATGATTCTCAATGACATTCATCGGCGCTCGTTGAAGGTTTAAACTCAGTGTATGTTAGCACATCAGTGACAAGCGTATTGTGTGTGGCACGTAGTAATAGTGACAAGTTTACGAGTGCGGTATGTAGATTTTTGGTCATCGCTTTTGGGAAGAGGCAAAAAAGAAAGGCAGAGAGACAAAGGAAGGAAGGAAGGGAGGGAGGGAGGAAGAAAAGAAGGAAGGAAGGAAGGGACATAGGAAGAAAGGGAGGAATGAAGGAACGAAGGAAGGGAGGGCGGAAGGAAGGAAGGAAGAGAGGGAAGGAGGGAGGAACGAAGGAACGAAGGAAGGAAGGGAGGGAGAGAGGAAGGAAAGAAAGAAAGAAGGAACGTAGGAAGGAAGGGAGGAATGAAGGAACGAATGAAGGGAGGGAGGAATGAAGGAACGAAGGAAGGGAGGGCGGAAGGAAGGAAGGAAGGAAGAGAGGAAAGGAGGGAGGGAAGGAAGGAAGGAAGGAAGGAAGGAAGGAAGGAAGGAAGGAAGGAAGGAAGGTAGGGAGGGAGGAACGAAGGAAGGGAGAAAGAGAGGGAGGGAGGAAGGGAGGAAGGAAGGGAGGTAGGAAGGGAGGAAGATGATGTAAAAAGACAGAAAGGAAAAGAGTAAGTGAAACAAACAAGGGAAGAAAAAAAATGAAACAAAGAAAGGAAGAAAAAGTAAATAAATTAGAATAAGAAAGAAAGGAAAGAGAAAATTAAGTAAACAAACAAAAAAATGAAAGAGAGAAAAAGACAGAACAAAAAGGATAAAGCGAAACAGGGATGAAGAAAAACTTATGTATGTATGTATGTAAAAGTGTGAAAAATATTGGTATGCGTTTTCTAATTCGATGTACAGGAGAGTAAGGAGGTGTGACCTAGGAATGAGAAAGAAAGGAAGACGAAGAAAAAAATAATAAAAGAGAAGCGAGAGATAAAAAATAACATAAAATAAGGAAAAAAAAATTCTAGGTAAAGAAAGAAAGAAAGAAAGAAAGAAAGAATTGGTAAAAATTGTCAGTTTTAAGTGAGGTTAAAGGTGAGGGAAAGCTGTTAACAGAAGAAAGAAAGAAAGAAAGAAAGAAAGAAAGAAAGAAAGAAAAAAAGAAAGAAAGAATTGCTAAAAACAGTCATTTTTAAGTGAGTGAAAGCTGTTAACAGAAGAAAGAAAGAAAGAAAGAAAGAAAGAAAGAAAGAGCATATAAAGAAAGAGGAAATGAAAAAAAAAATAATAGCAACAATAATAATAATAATAATAGCACTTAGTCGGCACAAAAACACAGACAACGGCATTGCAAAATAGTAATCAGTAGCCAAGAATGAGCATTTCTAGTTCGTGTCGGATAGTACCATTTCGACAGGCAAACGCGTGGAGAGCAAATGCTCTGACATCGCCCCACGTATGCAGCCATGAATGTATCCTGTTAGACATTGGCATAAGAAAGGTAGAACAGACGTAAATACAGAATAATTAAGAGTTGGCAAGGGATATCGGAAAACATACCAACCAGGAGATCAAGTTGCCTCTTTTGTGGTTGACGCACGTCGGACTTATCTCCAAGAGGCTCTTTATGACTTTGATCTGCCAGGTGACCCTCGCTGTGCACGCGTGGTAGAAGTGCCTGGAACAACTCATATGGTAAGGAAAGTACTTCTGAGCAGGGGATATGAGCTGAAACATGACAATTAGCACCCAGTCGAAACATCTTAATGAGGCTCTGATAATAATAATAATAATAATAATAATAATAATAATAATCATAATATTTGTTATTAAAAACCATAAACAAAAAAGTGCCTCCATATTGATATGGCAGTCCCTGCTGACTGCAATGTATCTTTGAAGATATTCAAAAAGCTGTCAAAATACAAGGACCTTGAAATAAAAATCTCGAAAATGTGGCATATGGGAACATCAACAATCCCTGTTGTAGTTGGAGCCCTAGGATTGGTTGGAAAAGATTGCAGTAGACTAATTGAAGGGATTCATGGAAATCCATGCCTCAAGGAGATACAAAAAATTGTTCTGACAAGTACAGCCCACACTTTACGAAGGGCTTTATCTATGTAATATTTTTTATATTTTTATTTTTATTTTTTTGTCAATGGAAAGTGTCATGACGCCATTTCTAACCTTAGGTCCCTGGGCGGAACCCGGAAAGAAATGTGTAAATGCCAGAAATCAAAGAAAATAAAAATAATAATAATAATGACTGACATTATTTCAAAGAAGGAATGTTAATAATTTTGCTAGAATTATTATTCATGTAATGAATAAAAGCAACAAAAGTAAGATGATAGTTCTGTCTGTTCTGAAGTTACTTACTAATTATCATTTTTTCAACGGAAAACTCCAAATATTATCACATATAACAGATTTCATTGACTGATTCGTCATCTACGGTTTATATCCACTATGAAGATTATTTAAATCCAGAAAAAAGTTTGAAATTGTCAGATTTTTTTGTGGGGGGGGGGGTAATAAAATATTTATCAGCATGTAGGCAAAGTTAGTCCCCGAACAAAATGACCCATTTAATTAATCAGTCCCTTTACTACTACGTTTCTTAAATTTCAGTCATAATTATTCAAGCCTTTCACGTGAGACACTTAAGTATCTTTGTATATTAAGTCACCATTTTGCTTCAACTCGGTCTTGAATATTAACTGATTGATTCGTTTCCTACGGTTTATCAAACCTTTTCGGGTTATTTAAAACCAAAAATATTTTTAGGTTATAAGAATCTGAGAGCGAGATAATAATGGTTTAGTGATATACGTTTTGCTAATTGACCCATGACTGTGGAGAGGAGAAGTGGATTCATAGCGTTTTTTATGAATATAACGAAACCTATGGGAATTGTCATTCGGCTCTCAGTTTAACAATTCCGAGCCATTATCCATTAAACTACCCGCGCATCCAAGCTTACAGCACCTGGTATTCCCAAGTTGTCACCCATCTAGCTACTTACTAGGTTCGTCGTTGCTTAACTTCAGTGATTGTACAGGAATCGTTGTTTGAACGTGATGTGGCCGTAAGCCACTAATAAAAATTTTAGATTGTAAAATTTTTTTTTTGACAATAGTTCTCGAGCAAAATGAACCATTTAATTAATCAGTCCCTTTACTCTTACGGTTCTTAGATTGCAGCCTTATTTGTCCAAGCCTTTTATGTGAAACACTCAGCTACCTTTGTCTATTAAGGAAACGTCTTGCTTCACCTTGATGTCTGTTAAGTCATCGTCGTGTTTTAACGTAATGTGGCCGTAAGCCACATCCAACGTAAGTGAGGAGACAACAAAACTAATTGATAATTTTTATCTCTGATATTCGAATACTGTTTCTGGTAGCATATGCAAGAAAGAACTTAACTAAAATAACAGAAGCCTAAAAATTAATAATATAAAAAGGATATGTTGAAAAATAAAGAGCAGACATAAAATGCCAAGCCGAAGAAATGTCTGCCATATTTAAAATTACAAATTTTACCAATACAAATAAATAAATAAATAAAATAAGAGCCATTTTCTAAGAAAAAATTCTTCAATATATCTCTTCGTAAAAATTTTTAAAAAAATTCGAAACATTTACTTTTTCTTTTGTGATGACATTTTTCATGACTCCAACCGGTTTTTAGTTCTGCCAACCCCCCCCCCAAACTCCGCAGGGATTTGTCGGCAAGATTTACATGGTTAAGAAGAAGAAATATGACAATAACAAATATTCGACTACGCCCTTTCATGTTCTCAGATTTCCACTTGTCTCAGTCAATACTCGTCTGTTGTCTTTCTCGAGAGACATCAGTTCAGGGTGGGCAAACATGTTTCGCGTACATTTTCGATCCAGGAATTTAAGTCATCGTAGCTAAGTTGTTTCTTGATAAGAAACTTGGTAAAGGACACCAAGGACATAGACAAAAGCATTATTTTTTTTATAGTATTGTTCGCCTAAGACAGTGGTTCCCAAACGGTTCGGAGCACTCCAAAAGGATAGCAGGTCAAGAGGAATAACTGAAAGACAATCGAAGATTTAGAGACAGTTTTTAAAAAAATCTTATGTCCAAAATAAATATGAGTTCATAATTTAAAATATTATTATGGATTACTTGTAATTACATGCATCAGACCCAGTGTAGATAGTTATCAAGAATTATTGACCGATTTTATCATTGATATTTTTGCATTATATCAAATACTAGCAGTAGAGCCCGGCGTTGCCCGGGGATGTAACAGTAAGAGATAGATCAAGTATCGACCATCATAAAGACTGAAAAATAAAATTGACAAAGATTATTGTTTAAGGTTGACGGACACGCATGTCTTAATTAGATTTTTTTTGTTTTTTTTTACGAATTGGTCAAATCCAAACTCAAACAAAAACATTGTTTTCAATCGTTATATGAGTCTATCGATTGAATAGAATTTTATTATAAACAATTGTCTTGTAAATGGAATTTTTGAAGCATTCTAAATGTAAAAATAAAGAAAAAAGTGTGCAAGACAATAAGAAACACTACCTGCCAAAAAAAAGTGAAGTTTTGTTGAAATCGGTTGAGAAATGTAGGAAATCCGATCCCATATATAAACGAACACATAAACAACCTGGGTTTTATAAGTATAACTCGATATGAGTTGTCCCCTTTTCATTCTGGCGACAGAATAGTGTTTTCAAATTGATTTTGTGCAAAATCAATTGTATTTTTTCAATTTTTGGCGCTGTCAGAACCACCACAAGGTAACTTTACACAGTCCTGTGAAGTTTTGTCGAAATCGGTTGAAAAATGTAGGAAATCCGATCCAATATATAAACGTACAGACACACACACAAACACACACACACACAATCTGCATTTTATAAGATTAAGAATATGGTAACAAGCGTCCGCAAATTGAAGTAGAGAGTTATCAGTGATAATGTTTCGACTTCGAATCCGCCATTATCATCTTTTAACCTTCCCTCCATGTTTTTTTTTTATTTTTTAAATGTACTTTTTATCACAAAAAACTTTTTGGGACGCAGACAAATTTAAATTACGTAAATGTGGCCCAGAGAAAAATAAGCTTGTGAACAACTGACCTAAGAGAAGACTCTTACAGCCATATGACGTCGAAATGCCAGTTCGTGTCCGATCACCAAGGCTAAGCCTTGTCAGTACCTAGATGGGTGACCGCTTGAAAAGACCGTGTGCTCTATATTTGAATGTGCGGTTTGTGTAATAGATAACAGCTCTGAATTGAAAATATGGAGCCGAGTTCGGAGTCGTGACATTCACTTACGCACATTTAGTTGCAGCAACTTCAAAACTTTAATACAATAACCCATTGAGGTTGATATGCCGTAAAACAAAATAAACCAATCTAAACCAAAGAATACATATTCTTTTCATACGAATCTATCCTAAAAATGTTGTAGGCATTAAATAACACATTGAGGTTGATATACCGTAAAACAAAATAAGCCAAACCAATCTAAACCAAAGAATACATATTTTATTCATACGAATCTATCCTAAAAATGTTGTCGGCATTAAATAACCCATTGAGGTTGATATGCCGTTAAACAAAATAAACGAAACCAATCTAAACCAAAGAATATATATTCTTTTCATACGAATCTATCCTAAAAATGTCGTAGGCATTAAATAACCCATTGAGGTTGATATGCCTTAAAACAAAATAAACCAAACCAATCTAAACCAAAGAATACATATTCTATTCATACGAATCTGTCTTAAAAATGTTGTCAGCAATAAATAACCCACTGAGGCTGTGCAAATGTCACAAAGGAGCCAGATACCAATTAGCAGAACGATCCTCAAAGGATATCGATATCCGAAGATTGCAATCAAGGCAGATGAAAGCCAATTCAAGTTTCAATTTTGGCAAGCCTGGTTACTACGGAATATTTATAATCATCTAGGAGAAACACTAAAAGTTCCGAAGGATAAAAGTTATCGAGTAATTGTTAAGGGAACTTTGAGATATTTCAAGTACTAAGATCTTTTAAAACGCTGCAAATCCTTCGAGTAAATTTAGAAAAAGCGGTCTGCAACTTATTGAAGAATCTTGATACTGATGATGAAGTATGCAAACTGACAAGAAAATTATATTTTTTGAGAGAACAATGATAAGTCTCTATCAAAATGGTATTGCTAATTTTCACTGTTTCTCAATCTGATCAGCATATTTCAGAACATTTTCA